TGATCTAAAGATTTCAGGGATGGGATGTTTGTGAGATATTTATCAACTCAATGCAGGTAGTCACGCTAAAAATGCTTCATAACATATCCCTTTCTGTCTGACGAGGAAGAAAATCCAATTTAACACTGCAAATGCGTGGCTCTGCAAGCAAGTGTTTGTTGACTTGTGAGCCATTAGTGGACTGCAAATAAGGCAACTTGGGGATATTGGAATCCAATTTGATTCCTAAGCAATCCTCTGCTAGACAGCTACGCTCTTTATTTCAACTAAAATTTCATTCTTTACATCTAATGTTTATTAGATAGAGGCACTTCTGTGTCGATCAAAATTTCAAAAATCTTATAAGAGAGCATCTTTCTAAAATGCGTGACTGTTGAGAAAGATGAAATGTATGCATATTGTATATATGTACTAAGGATGGAAAAAAACTTGTACACTTCGTTTGTTCTTTATTTAAAAGGACTAATGAGATATGACTGCTGAGAGAGAGTTCGCTGCGTCATGTTTTCGATAGGAGGGAGGTGGATGGTTTTAACAAAAGTTTGCAATGTATTTCCTGGAAAATTGAGAACTTTTGATTGAGTGGAGGATTTCTTTTCCAGCATTAGGTAATCCACTTCTATAGATTTTATAGAAGCGCTATTTACCAGTTAAAGGAATATATGGCAACTCTTTAATGGATTCAGCTCTGTGATGCTTCTTTCTTTACTTGAAAAATCAAAAAGGAAAGTGGCAATTAAACATAAGATTAATTTAGATTTAATTTCAATGTCAATAAAAGCAGAAATGGACAACTTGCCTTTTACCGTTTATCATGTATTTCAAAAACATATTGAGGACTGACTATAACACATGAAATCCCTGTACTAAAGCAAGTGCCCAGACTCGCTATACTAATATTTCTGCTACGGGAATATAAATGTGTTTTTGAATTGTGTCAAACATTCTTTCTGAAGAATGCTTTTTCAGAATATAATTGCTGGCTTGATCTTGTTATATACTTGTTTGTCCGGTTGTATTTTTACCTTCATTTGAATTAATCCCTATTCCAACGAAGAGGAGAAGAAAAGAAAGACTTCCTTGGAACTTTCAGAAGAATACTGGGTTCAGTATAATCGATTATTCTATTTTTCAATAAACACGTCATTCTGTTACAAATTTATACAATTTTATTCACGTTGCCCCTTAAACTGCATAGCTGGGAAGTGGTCTTGAATGACACTTATTGCTC